GGGTCTCACTATGCAGTTCAGACTGGCCTTGAACTCACTTATGTGGCCCAGGCTGGCCTCGAACTCACAGTGATCCTCCTACCTCAGCCTCCCAAGTGCTGGGATTATAGGCGTGCACCACCATGCCTGGCTAGTAATAATGTTAAATGTGAATAGGTTAGACATTCCAGTCAGAAGGCAGAGATTTTTAGATTGGATTTAAAAGATAAGAACCAAGTATGTGCTCTGTGCAAAAGACATTTTAGATTCAAAAAGGTTGGAAGAGGATAGTATAGAGTTATCATGCAAATAATAAGTTTGTAAGACCTGGAGTGGCTGTAGTAATACCAGACAAAGTAAACCATAAGATGAAAAACCAGTTAAATGCAAGGAGGCCTTTTAATTTTCTTCTAAATTTTAGGTGCATAGTTTATATTAGGAAATTACTCATTCTGTTGTACAGTATTATGGGTTTATAGCTGTGCCTGGCATAGTTTTATCTTTTTTATTTTAAAGAGAAAAAACAATAAAAATGATACAGAATTTCAAAACAAGATGATAGGAAATTAACAACGGCTATTATATTGCATATTGTTATCTTCAAGGTAGTTGCTCAGATTACCAGATATAGGCATGCAAAAGTGATCAAACAATATAAGCACTAACTGTTCCTTTTACTGAACTAATAGAAATTAGTAGTACAGTTATCTTAGCTGTCTTGTGTGTATATATAGTTTCCTCTTTCTGTCGTTACCATGTCATACAAAACAGTTCCATCCTGTCCTTCCAAAACTCTGCAGTTCACCTCTTCATTCTCCCTCCATCCACTCCCTGAGGACCTGGAGACCTAACCTGTTCTACTGTCTTTATGGCTTTCCCTTTTACAGAATATTATACAGTTGGAACTAAAAATATATTGTCTTGTGTTTTTAGACTGCTTTTTTCTGCTTAGCCATGTTCATTTGGAATTCCTCTATGTACTTTTCTTTCTCACTAAATAACATTCTGTAGCATAGCTGTACCACATTCTGTTTATCTGTTCACCAATTGAAGGATGTCTTGTTTGCTTCCAAGTTTTGGTAATTATGAATAAAGTTGCTATAAATATTTACGTGTAGGTTTTTGTGTAGGCTTGCATTTTCAGTTCACTTGGGTAAAAACAAAGGAGTGTGATTGCTGCACGGTAGACTTTGTTTAGTTTTGAGAAACTACCAAACTACCAAAAAACTACTGTGTCATTTGTATTTCCATGAACAATATATTATAGTGGCAGTAAATCTAATTATTGTATAGTTACAGTATTATAAATGTTACAATGAAGGTTACTATTGTTTACTGTAATTTGCTGTTAGTTGCTTTGGTCTGGGGCAATTCTAATAGATGACAGGATCTCCTATTTTTTTAAAATTTATAATTCCTTAATGGTATATCATGTTGAGCATCTTTTCATATATTTATTTGCTATCTATGTATCTTATTTCATGAGATATCTGTTAAGACCCTTTGCCTGTTTTAAATAGTTGGTCCATTAATTTTCTTAGTATTGAGTTTTAAGAGTTCTTTATGTATTTTGGATAATAGTCATTTATCAGATAAGCCTTTTGCAAATACTTTCTCCTAGTCTGCGGCTTGATGCTCATTCTCTTGACTGTCTTTGAAGAGCAGAAATTTCAAATTTTAATGAAGCCAAGCTTATCATTTCTTTCTTTCATGTGTCATGTCTTTGGTGTGGGGTCTTTTTTGTCATGACCCCACCAAAGGTCACCTAGGTTTTCTCCAATGTTACCTTCCAGGAGTTATATAATTTTTACTTTGTAGTAAGGCCTTTGATTCATTTTGAGTTAATTTATGTGAAAGGTTTAAAGTCTGTGTCTAGATTCATTCTAGCATGTTTCTATACAGTTTCAGCTTCATTCATTGAAAATAGTATCTCTTCTCCATTGTGCTGCCTTTGTTCCTTTGACAAATATTGGTTGACAGTATTTACATGGTTCTAATTATAGGCTCTCTGGACTGTTCTATTGCTTTGTTTTTCCACCAATACTATTGTCTTGATTATTGTAACATTACAGTGAGTCTTACAGTGGAGTAGTGTCAATCCTCCAATTTTGTTCTCCTTCAATATCACATTGGTTTTCTTGATCTTGCAGCTCTCTATGTAAAGTCTGACTCACCTGATAACCCCCAAATAACATGCTGGAATTGCATCAAGTGTACACATCAAGTTTGGAGGAACTGACATTTAACAATATTGAGTCTTCCTATCCATGAACATGGAATATCTTTCCATTTATTTAATTCTTTTTTTGGGGGGTCTATATTTTGAAGTTTTTCCATATAGATTTTTATACACATTTTGTTAGATTTATAGGTAATTATTTTATTTTTGGTGGTATAAAAACAAATAGTATTGGGTTTCTAATTTCCAATTTCATTTGTCTATTGCTGGTGTATGAGAAAAAAGTTGACTTTTGTACATTGTAAAATGTGACCTTGCTATAACTTACTACTTTTAGGATGGTTTTTGGGACAATTCTGTGGATTGCCACATAGACAATCATGTCTTCCTTTCCAATATTTATGCCTTTTATTTCCTTTCTTTGTCTTGTTGCATTGGTTAGAATTTCTGGTACAATGATGAATATAAGTGATGAGAGGGGCTTTCTTGTTTATTCTCATTCTTTGGAGAAAGCATCACTACTAAATACACTGTTACTTGTAGGTTATTCATAGGTACCATTTCTCAAGTGAAAGAAGTTCCTGTCTATTCCTAATTTGCTAGAAATATTTTGGTTTTTAGCACGCATGGAGATTGGATTTTGTCAAATGAATTTTGTGCATTCATTTACATGATTGTATGTTTTTCTTTTATTCATTGATATTTGAATGCCAAATAAACCTTATATACTTCTAATATATTCTACTTGATTGCAGAGTATAATTTAGGTTGGTTTTACTAACATTTTGTTGAGAACTTTTGCACTATCATTATGAGAAATATTGGTTTGTAATTTTCATTTCCTATAATGTCTTTGGCTTTGATACGATGATTATTCTGGTTTCACTGAATGATTTAGGAAGTGTTTACTTTGCTTCTAAGATATAAAAGAGAGCCTAAAGAACTGGCATCATTTCTTTCTTAAATGTTTGGTAGGACTCATCATTGAATCCGAGTCTGATGTTTTATATTTTAGAGTTTGTTTTTTGCTTTAAAAAATTTCTTCCCCAATGTTTTTAAACTATAATACCCAAAGAAACTGCATAAATTTATAATGTATATAATCGGTGAGTTTGGATGTATCTCTGCATTCATGTTATTATCACCACAGTTCAGGCACTAAATACACCATTATCTCCAAAAGTTTCCTTGTACCATCCCCTTTTTTGTGATAGGAAGACTTAATATAAAATCCACCTTCTTAACAAATTATTTAGTGCACAAAATTTTATTGCTAACTACAGACACTATGTTATGTAGCAATGTCTGGAATTTACTCCTCTTGTATAATTGTGACTTATACATGCTGAACAACAGCTACACTCTCACCCTTATACCATCCTCTGGTAACCATCATTTTATTGGGTTTTTCTTTGATACTGGGAATCAAACTCAAGACCGTGCACTTGCAAGGCAGGTGCTGTGCTGCTGAGCTATATCCCCAGCCACCATCATTTTATTGTTAAGTTCAATACTTTTAACTGTTCTACATGCTTCATATTAGAGGAATTATACATTCTTTGTCATTCTGTGCCCAGTTTATTTCACTTAACATGGTGTCTTCCAGATTCACCCCTGGGGTCACAAATGACAGAATTTCCTTTTTTTTAAGGGCTGAATATTAACTATTTGATTGTTTACATACATTTTATTTAGCCATTAATGTGTCTGGGGACATCTGAGTTGTTTCTGTATCTTGACTATTGTGAATAATGCTCCTATGAATACAGGAGTGCAGATATCTCTTTGAGATACCAATTTCCATTCTTTGGAGCAAATATCCAAAAATGGAATTCCTGTATATGACAATTCTAAGTTTTGTAAGAATCTGTATTCCATTTCATTGCATTTCAGCTGTATCAATTTACATTGTTACCAACAGTGTACTGTATAAGGATCAAATTTCTGCACAACCTTATCAATACTTTACTTTCCTACTAACAGGTGTGAGGTGATATCGCATTGTGGTCTTCTGTGATAATTATGGGGCTGAGTATCTTCATTTACAGGTTAGTCATTTGTGTGTATTCTTTGGAGAAGTATCTACTGTATTCCTTTGCATGTTTTTCAATTGGATTATTAATCATTATTATTATTATTATTATTAGCTGTTGAGTTTTGGGAGTTCATTTTATATTTCGGAAATTAATCTCCTGTCAAACATAGTTTTGGAAATACCTCCCCTTCTGTAGGTTATCTTTTCACTCTATTTATTGTTTCCTTTACTGTGAAGAAGCTTTTTCGCTTAATCCAATCAAATGACTATAATTTGTTTTTGTTCTCTGTATCTTTGGTATTGTGTCCAAAAAATTACTGCCCTAGCTAATGTCAAAAATCTTTTTGTCTGTTTCCTTGTAATAGTTTTACAGTTGTAGGTATTATGTTATTATGTTTAGATGCGTGTGTGTGTGTGTATGTGTGCGTGTGTGTGTGTTTTGCGGATTTAATTGAGAGCCTCATGCATGCTAGGCAAGCACTCTACCACTGAGGTACATCCTACCCCTATATCTAGGTTTTTAATCCATTTAGACTTTATTTTTTAATTGATGTGAGATATTTCCACACATTTTTGTGGTTATAGTTATTCTTCATACTTTTATCTTTTAACTTTTATAGTAGGATTTTCTTTTAGTAGGATACTCTTGTGTCATTATTCTTGTGTCATCGTATCCTGTTTGTCTATATATTTATCTTTCCCAGTAAGATTTGGACTTTTATATACTATTTATTGTTATTGAGTATTTATTTATTTCAGTCTAAAGAATTTAGTACTTCTTGGAAGGCAGATTTACTACTGACAAACTCTCTCAGCTTTTCTTTATCTTGGAAAGTCTGTATCTCTCCATTTTAAAAAATTTTAATTTTTAATTTTTAAATTTTATTTTATTTTTATTTTTGGTACTGGGAATCAAACTCAGGATCTCATGCTTGCTAAGCAGGCGCTGCACCACTAAGTTAAATACCCAGCCATATCTCTCCATTTTTGAAGAACGGTTTTATTTGGCGTAGTATTTTTGGTTAGCAGGTTTTTTTCCCCGCTTTAGTACTCTGAGCATACTATCCTCCCCTCTCAACCTGCGAGATTTTAACTAAGAAATGTGGTGATGGTTTTATGTAAGTTATTTTTTTTTAACAAGTCACTTTTCTCTTGCTGCTGTTAAAATTCCTTTTGCCTGATTTCTGACAGTTTGATTATAATATGTCTCAGTATAGACCTCTTTCAGTTCTTGTTATTTGGCATTAGTAAGTTTCATGAATCTTGTCACTCGTTTCCCTTGCCAAGTTTGGGCAGTTTTCAGCCATTCTTTCTTTAAATGGACTTTCTGCACTATTTTTGTCTCTTTAAAAAATTTCCCTCACAAATATATCATCTGGTCTGAGAGTGTCCCCTAAGTCCCTTTGGTGTGACTCAGCCATCTTCATTTTTTTTCTTTTAGCACTTTTGACTAGGTCATTTCAAACGACTTGGCTTTCACTTTGCTACTTCTTTGCTCTGCTTGATGGAGTTTCCTGTTGAAGCTGTCTCTTGAATTTTATACCTTTAGCTCTAGGATTTCCGTGCTTTTAAAAAAATACATGTGTAGATTTTAAACTCAGGTTTTCCTCTTGAACTTCTCACCACGTTCATATATTTCCCCTGATTTATTTGTCTTTCTGTACCCTCTTCTACCTCACTGAGCTTCTTTCAGATGGTTGTTTTAAATTATTTGTCAGGCTGTTCACAGATCTCCATTTCTCTAGGGCTACATTAGCTCCCCTGTGGTGGAGTGATGTTTCCATGATTTTTTGTATCATGGAGTTGTTGTGTACACATTTTACGTATTTGCAGGAATTTACAGGTTGGATTTGGCAGGGCAAGATTTCACTACTCAGCATAACCAGGGGTTTGCGGGGAGGCAGCTAATGGTCTCTGGATGTCACCAGGACCCGTTACCAGTGTCTTGAGGTTGGGCTGGGTCACTGGCTGGGCTCTGTGGCTGGCCAGAGTCACTGGATGGGCTTTCTGATTGGGTGCTCTGAAAAGCTGGAGAAGTTGAGTATTTATCTTCAGATTTCTTTCTCCTGCTGGAAAAATTATAGGCCAAGAAGGTCCTTGTCAGAGTGACACTGTGCTGGCTTGGGGTGCAGCAATGCATACAAAGTGAAACCATTCCTCTTATCCTTCTTGCTGTAGTTTTTTGTGACCTTTAGTTCCACCTCAATGCCAGAGCCTCACTCCCAAGCTCTAAGATTCTCACACATGCATTCCTGTATGTAAGCATTTGCTAAGTTGTTTCTTTGTGAGGGATTAGAGCTGGGAACCTCTTATTCTTGTATTTTGCTGATATTCTCTGAAGGCTATTAATTGTTGACTCAGTATTTTAATAGATATAATCCTATTCAGATAATCTCTTTTCTCTTATGTAAATTTTGGCGATTGTATCTCTTAAGGGATAGGTCCATTACACCTAAATTATTGTTGTGGTTTAAATAAAAGCTGTTCCCCCAAGAACCTGTGGTGTTGAAGGGTTGGTGCCCAAGGCAACAGGGTTCAGAGGTGGCCCCTACAGAGGTGACTGGGTCATGGGGCACTAACTTCATACTAATCCATTGATGCATTCACAACTGAATGGGATTTTAGGAGGTGAGGCCTAAGTGGACGAAGCAGGTCATGAGGGGCATGGCTTTGAAGGATGGATTTTTGTCCCAATCCTTCCTTTCTATATTTTCCCTCTCTCTGCTTCCTGGATGCTATGAGAAGAGCAGCTTTCATCAGCCACACTCTTCTACTGTGGTATTTCTGCCTCACCACAGACCTAAAAAGCAATGAAGTCAGCCAGCCATGGCCTGAAAACCCTGAAACCAGAAGCCAAAGTAAACCTTTCCACCTCTAAGTTGATTTTCCTAGGTATTTTGTCACAGTGATGAAAAGCTGACTAACAGTTATAAAACTGGTGACGTATTCCTTCATTATCTTTTAATGTCTATGAAATCAGTAGTGATGGTCACTGGTTCACTTCTGATTTTAATATGTCCACCCCATCTCATTTTTTAGCCTAACTAGAGATTTATGTCAATTTTATTGACATTTCTCAAGAAGCACATTTGGGTTTTATTGATATTCTATTAAATTACTGGGTTCAATTTCATACATTTGTTACACTAGAATTTGGTTTTTTTTTTTTTTTAGTCTCCTATGGTTTTTTATCTTTCTTTTTTCTAATATATACATTCAATGCTATAAATAAACACTATTTTGTTATATCCCACAAATACTTATTAGTTGTATTTTAATTTTTATTTATTTCAAGATATTTTAAAATTTCTCTTGAGATTTCTTCTTTGCCCTATGTGTTATTTAGAAGAAGCCTGTTGTTTAATCTCCAAATACTTTGGAATTTCCAGATATTTTTTTCTTATTGTTTTATAGTTTATTTTTATTGTAGGTTGAGAGCAAATGATATAGAGTGAATGGTTATTTATATGTTGAAGGTTCAAATCTGAATGACTATTTTTAGAGATAAGGCCTTTCTGGAGATAATTACATTTAAAAGAGGTCATATTTCCCTGATTAAGTAATCCTGTCCTAAGAAGAAGACTCACTCCCTCTTTACCACAGGAGGATACAATGACAAAGCAGCCAACTATAAACTGAGAAAAGAACACCCACAAGGAACAGAATCATCTGGGACCTTGAACTTCAACACCCCAATTTATAGACCTGTAAGAAAGTAAATTTCTGTCATTTAAACCATTCAGAATAAAACATCCTGTTATGGCAGCCTGAGCTAATTTATATAGTGTACTTTATATTCTTTTGAATTTGTTAAGTTTTGTTTTATAGTTGAGAATGTGTTCTACCTTGGCAAAAAATTCTGTGAATGTTTATTCTGCTCTTGTAAAAACAAATGTATTAATGTCTATTACATCCAGTTGATTAATGATGTTCAGTTCAACTACATCTTTGTAGATTTTCTCCCTGCCAGATTTGTCAATTACTAAGACAAAGGTGTTGATGTAGCCAATTATAATAATGAATTGTTCTATTTCTAACTGCAGTTCTGTTAGCTTTTGCCTCAGTTATTTTGATGCTCTTTTATTATGTTCATTGTGATAGTAACTGTCCTCATTGCCAGAACAAAATACCCAACACCCACAATTTAAAAGAGGAGACGTTTATTTGAGCTCATGGTTTTTAGATTTCAGTCAATGGTTGGTTGTCTCCAAAGGAGAACCAGCATGGAAGAGGGACATAACAGAGAAAAACTGTTCACATCATGGTAGTCTGGAAGCAGAGAGAAAAGGGGGGGGCTAGGAAGGGAGAACTATCCTTCCAGGTCACACCCCCAGTGACACACCTATAAAGAGGCCCACTTCCTAACAGCACTTTTAGTTGTAGTACCCGCCAAGATGCAGTCACCTTTTGAAAACCTTACCTCTGAGCATGTGAGAGTTTTAGGAGCCATTCTCAATCTAAACCATAATATTCTGCCCCAGGCCCCCAAAAGACACATGTGCTTATCTTTATGCAAAATGCATTTTTTCCATCTCTAAAAGTTGACAAAGTCTTAACAGTAACAATTCCATCATTGCTGAAAAGTTCAAGTCCAAAATCTCTGAGACTCAAGGCAGACTCTTAGCTGTGAGACCCTATAAACATCAAAAAGAAAGTTAAACACTGCTGACATACAATGGTATGGGGTAAACATTTTCATTCTATAAGGGAGAAATTGGAGAGATGGGTGTATAATGAAATTGGGCCAAAGCAGGACCAAAACTCTGCAGTGCAAACATTAAATCCTGTAGCACCATGTCCAGCACATGGGGCAAGTAGTAGTGAGATGTGCGCTCTAAATGATTTGGGTGGTCCTGCCTCCATGGCATTGCCTGGTGCAGCCCTCGTGTCTTCTGGCTGGGGTTGACTCTGATCACTGCCTGCAATTTTCCTCGTATTTTCCATGTTCCCAACTTCCTTGGGTCTCCACTGCACTTTCAACTTCAATCTCATAACTTCCCATACTGCCTTCCTAGGCTTTCATCTGAAATCTTTATGAAATACTCCCTGACTCCACAGCTCTTACATTCAGCATGCCCGTAAAACCAGTACTATATGGATGATGCCAAAGTCTGCTGCCAGGTTAAGCAATAGCTAGGCCCCCTTATCTCATTGCTTTAGAGGCCTCCAAGTTCCTAGATGGCTGAGCACTATGAAGGGAATTCTGAAGAACCAATCCCTAAGCAGCCTCTCTGGAGCAGAGGACTCTGGGAATCTCTTCTTCAAACAAAATCTTTCACTTTTGTGCTTCTTAGCCTGAGAAGGGTGGGGTCTTGCTAATTCCTCAGATTCCCTCAAGACATCTTTTCTGCTGTCCTGATGTAAAGTTCTTGGCTTCTTTTATTACTAATCTTTTCAGCAATGATGCTCTCTTGGTAAAATCTTTATAGGCCTCAATTTTACAGACCTTTCCTTTCTGATGAAACTCAAAACATTTAAAATAACTCAGCAGTGCCAGTTGCTCTTGATTCTCATTGTAGTGCTGGCTAAAGGTCCCCAACAATACTCATGCCACAACCTGAATTTCGGGGTGCCTTGAAATTAGTTAGTCCATCACCTTTAATCTCAGTCTCCCATAAAGTTTCAGGACATGGGAAAAATGTATACAACTTTTCTGCCAGACCATAACATACATGGTCTTGAGTACAGCTGTCACTGGAGTCCTTGTTCTCAATTGATACCTTGAAAACTTTGCCTTTTTAAAAAAATTAACTAAGTTTATTGGTACATTTTAGAGATACATGATCATATTCATCATAGGGAATTTGTACCTATACATGATATATCTTAATTCTTTTTTTTCCATTTCCCTCTCCTCCCTTCAACCCCTCTTCTCCTCCTTATTTAAAAAAGCTTGGTTTCCATTTTTCCTGCTTTTCTCATTTTTTCTTGTCCCTTCCTTCCTTCCGCCCTGCCATTTCACTACTTCCCTTTCCCATTTGAACATTTTCTTCCTAGTTCACAGTATGTATTACACATTTTGGTCCTTGCCTTAGTTACCCTTTTTGTTGCTGAGACAAGATACCTGATGCTCAAACTTAAGAGAAAGGTTTATTTGGTTTACAGTTTGTAGAGGTTTCAATCATCATTGGCTGGCTCCAAGGCGTAGTGGCACATGGCAGAGGGCAACAGTTCATGGCAGTGGAAGACAGCAAAAGCAACAGGAGTAAAGGGAGAAAACCAGCGTCTTTCTGTCCCTTTTATTTTATCTAGTCTACTTGGATTAGGTTGGTGCCAGTTTGATCCAACCATCACCCACCCTTAATCCTGGCACCTTTAATCCCAGCATTGCACTAAGAATCAATCACACACTCTAGGTTCAGCAGCCTCAGAAAAGCTCACCCCCCCATGACCTCATGAGGATTTGAGGGGGATATCCAGACACAAACCATAACAATCCTCATCTATACTTTCATTTTCTCACACCAGAAAAACAACGTGATATTTACACATGTGTGTCTGATTTATTTCACTTTAGAGTATGGTCTCAGAGTGCATCCATTTACCTAGAAATGTCTCAGATTTATCCTCTTTATGGCTGAGTAGTACTCCATTGTGTAAAAACCCCACATCTTTATCCATTCAGTTGATGAACATTGGGCTGTTTCAAAGATTTAGCTATTACAAACTGTTCCACTACAAACATGGATGAGCATATATTGCTGTAGTCTGATGTTTCAGTTCCTTTGGGAAGATACCAAGAAGGGGAATACCTGGGTCTAATAGAACCTGTAGTTTTAGTTTTTTGAGGGATCTCCACACTAGTTTCCACAGTGGTTTCACCAGTCTACACTCCCACAAACAGTGGAGAAGGGTTCCTTTTCCCCTACAGCCCTGCCAAGATTAATTATTGGTTGATTTCTTGATAATAGCCATTCTTTCTGGCATGAGATACAATGTCAATGTTGTTGTAATTTGCATCTCTTGAATAATCAGTGATGTTGAACATTTTTTCATGTATTTTTTTGCTATTTGTGCTTCTTCATCTGGGAAGTGTCTATTCATCTCAGATGCCCATTTTTTAATTGGGTCTTTAAATTTTGGGAGGTCCGATTTTTTTGAGTTCTTTCTATTTTTTTTTGTATATTCTAGATATTAGTCCTTTGTGTGAGTAACAGCTGGAAAATTTTTTTCACACTCTGTGGGTTATCTCTTCACTCTGTTGGTGGTTTCCTTTGCTATTCAAAACCTTTTTTAGTGAGATGAGATCCCATTTGTTGATTCTTTGCAATGTATCTTGATCTTGGGCCAGAAGAAACAGTGAAAATGGCCATACTCTTAAAATTGCTATACAGATTTCATGGAACCCCAATCAAAATACTAATAGCATATTTCACAGAAGCAGAGAAAACAAACCTAAAATCTATTTGGAAACAGAAGAGACCTAGAATAGCAAAAGCAATTCTGGGCAACAAAGACAAAGCAGGGGGCATCATAACCCTGAAAAAGTTTCTGTGATAAATATAGCATGGTACTAGCAAAAAAAAACCCAGACCCAAGGATCAGTGGAACAGGTTAGAAGATGCAAAAATAACCCCAAACACACTCAGCCACCTTATCTTCCAGAAAGGGGCCAAAGGCCTTCTCTGGAATAAAAATAGCCTTTTTAGTAAATGGTGCTGGGAAAACTGGCTTTCCACATGCTGAAGATTAAAACTAGACCCATATCTTTCACCCTATACTAAACTAAAATGGAAATGGATCAAAGATACAAATGTTAAA